GCCTCCCAGGTCTAGTGGAAATGCGGAAGTATGTGAGACCGCCTACCAGGTCTAGTGGAAATGTGAAAGTATGTGAGAGCGTCTTCCAGGTCTAGTGGAAGTGCGGAAGTATGTGAGACCGCCTCCCAGGTCTAGTGGAAATGCGGAAGTATGTGGGACCGCCTCCCAGGTCTAGTGGAAATGCGGAAGTATGTGAGACCGCCTCCGTAGACTAGTGGAAATGCGGAAGTATGTGAGACCGCCTCCCAGGTCTAGTGGAAATGCGGAAGTATGTGAGACCGCCTCCGTAGACTAGTGTAATTGCGGAAGTATGTGAGACCGCCTCCCAGGTCTAGTGGAAATGCGGAAGTATGTGAGACCGCCTCCGTAGACTAGTGGAAATGCGGAAGTGTGTGAGAGCGCCTTCCAGGTCTAGTGGAAATGCGGAAGTATGTGAGACCGCCTCCGTAGACTAGTGGAAATGCGGAAGTGTGTGAGACCGCCTCCGTGGTCTAGTGGACATGTGGAAGTATGTGAGAGCGCCTTCCAGGTCTAGTGGAAATGCGGAAGTATGTGAGAGCGCCTCCCAGGTCTAGTGGAAATGCGGAAGTATGTGAGAGCGCCTCCGTGGTCTAGTGGAAAAGCGGAAGGTATGGAGTTCGATCCAGGGCCGCATCATGCCAAAAGACGTTTAAAGATGGTACTTGTTGTTATCCCGCCTGGCGCTTGGCATTCAGGGACGAAAACAAGGACTGGTCGGCTCGGAGTCAGTATACTGTGTCTGAGTGGGGTATCCATGCTACTGTGGCATGGTACCTACGTGGGCTAGCACTATAAAATCGGCATCAGTCTGGACTAGTAGAAGCACACACACCCGCACTCACGCACGCACGCACGCAGACACATAGTATATCTTTTCTGTTTTGTGTTTTCGTACTGCTTTAAATATTTCATCCATAAATCTCGCCTTATGTTCTTAATCTCTTCAGCGTTTTGACAGGACAATAACTTCTTTAATGCATACAAATTAGACCATTTATCCTGGTACGCAATTGGTAAGTCTACAGGTTTATGTTTTAACAGAGCCTGGGATCTAAACAGATAATGAAATTCTGAAGGAGAGTTGCACAGTTAAAAAACACGATCTTTCTTTAAATTATTCAACAACCGGTATCAAAATTTGTTCTGAATTTTAATATTGGGATATACACAATTTTTGTCATTGACTTGTATCTTTTAAGTATTGGCTTTTCGGTCAGATACCGATAAATGTAAACCTCTACTTCTCATTATCATGTTACATCTCAATTCTTGTACGAATTGATCCGACCCGTGAAGATTCCGGGCTAGAATAGGTCTTCAGCAACCCATGCTTGCCGTAAAAGGTGAGGTGAGGTGAAATTGGGTTTAACGTCGCGTCCAAGATTATTGCACTTATATAGCGACGTGCATGCACGTGTATGTGTGTGTGTGGCTGCTTGTACTAGTCCGGACTGATGCCGATTTATAGTGCTAGCACACTGAGATACCATGCCGCAGTTTAACATGAATACCCCACTCGGACACAGTATACTGACTCCGAGCCGACCAGTCCTTGTTTTAGCCCCTTAATGCCGAGCGCCAGACAGGGTAACAACAAGTACAATCTTTTAACGTCTTTTTGTATGACGCGGCCCGGGATCGAACCCTGGACCTTCCGCTCTCCGGGCGGACGCTCTACCACAAGACCACGGAGGCGGTCTTGCCGTAAAAGGCGACTATGCTTGTCGTAAAAGGCGACTAACGGGATCGGGTGGTCAGGCTCGCTGACTTGGTTGATGCTTGTCATCGTATCCCAATTGCGTGGATCGATGCTCATGATATCAATCACTGGATTGTCTGGCCCAGACTCGATTATTTACAGACCGCCGTCATATAGCTGGAATATTGCTGAGTGCGGCGTTAAACAACAAACCAACCAGCCAACGAATTGATCCTGAAGTTCGCCTTAATCCATACTAGCCAGGTATTACTGAAATCATGATTCCGTTCAATAAAGTGATAAATCATTTGTGTAGGTTTATCACACGTATAGGTTTTGCTATGTTATGCCAGAATTTTATTACACGTTTTGAAACAGTTATGTGTGGAGGTTCCCTGCCTAATTCCCCATAAACCGTCAAGTTTGGAGTTGATGCGCCTAATCCAGTAGCAGAGTTTTGAAATTTTAAATAAACACGCTCAAATATTTGTAAATTTTCTTATGTCCATATTTTTGAACCATATAACAAGATAGGTGATGCCATAAAATCGAAAGCTGAGATTAGGCAATCGAGAGGTAAATTAATGTTTCTTTGCTCTCTTCAGAAGACAGAACATAGCTTTCTTGGCATGAGAGGCAATATATTTAATTGCGCTTATCATCCTTCGATTTGTGGGGAGTGCTATGCCAAGGTAAACATAGCTATCTACCATCTCGGGGTGTTCTCCATCAAACATGAACTGGAGTTAACTTCGCTAAGCAGGGCCACTGCCAAATATAACTTTTTGTTGTTGAAATGTTAACATCTAAATTTCATTTAGTGCAGTATAGTCTAAACGAGCTATTGGTTTTCTGTAAATCGGCAGGGCATCTACTAGTGAGTGAGTGAGTGTCGAACCCGGGTCTTCAGCGTGACGAGCGAACGCTTTAACCACTAGGCTACCCGACCGCCCCAGGGCATCTACTAAATAAGACTGTATATATCCTCAACATAGAGTCAAATTATAAACTATAAAAATAAGGTTGCATCATTACAAAGATTATAATCAACATTTACAATAGAGATTGCTCGAGGTTATTTATATACAATGAAAATAGTAATGGGATAGGTGGGCTCCTCGTCTAACTCCGAAAGTGAGTGAGTGAGTGAGTATGGTTTTACGCCGCTATAGCAATATTCCAGGAATATCACGGCGGGGGACACCAGAAATGGGCTTCACACAATGTACCCATGTCGGGAATCGAACCCGGGTCTTCAGCGTGACAAGCGAACGCTTTAACCACTAGGCTACCCGACCGCCCCTAACTCCGAAAGGCTTGGGACAAAATTATATACAACATGATAAGAAATGATTTAATACCGTTGTACATTATTTTTATTTGAATGAAAAAAATTACCTCTCACGCCACTTTTCAGCAATTTGTGCCAAAGACCTGTTTGTCAATAGCCTTGATGAAATCTAAAAAAAGCACAATGCAACTTTTGTTTGCTATGCTTAAGGCTCTCCATTATCACATTGACGATAAACACGTTGTCTACTAATGAGAAGGGTTTTTTTCCATATCCAACCTGCGCGGGAAACAGGATGTTATTGTCATCAGTCAAAGATGACAATCGTGAAATAAGTATACTCGTAAAAGCTTCCCCACGTAACTCAAAATTGTGATAGGCAACTTGGGTTGTATGATCCACAGGGAGCTGAGAATGAAAATAGAGTGCTCACTGATCCATTGACCGGGGTAATAATAATAATAATAATAATACTGATAATAATAATAATTATTGTTATTATAATTGTTGTTGTTGTTGTTGTTATTATTATTATTATTATTATTATTATTATTAAAAATAAAAAATGCAGCAAAGAGGGTTTGGGTGATCCTGGTACAGTCAGGCTGGTTAGGCTCATCATCAGCTCAGGGCCCTTGCCCCCTCTACACGCTGCTCAGACAGCGAATGGGTCTTCTCCCAGGAAGCGCTGCCTAAATTTAGTCAAACCCACCCAGAACGTTTCGGAGAATGTGGAGACTCCACAACACTGCAACCTTCTGCATTACCCAAATTGTCAGAAGGGCTGTATTCCTGTTAGCAAGCCCGGGTACTCTCCCGATGTCAGTCAACAGATTGGGAGGTACCAAACCTAAGGCACCGAGAACAATGGGGAGTCGGACAACTTGGTACTTGGGATGCAAGCGTGACATTTCGAAAGCTGGATCTGCATATTTGCCATGTTTTTCCTGAATCTTAACAATCACATTACTGTCAAAAGGGATAGAAAATTCAATGATATAACTACAGATTTTCTTTAGTCTACATTTGTACTCAGCCCGAAGTTTGCCCTTGATATGAGCATTCTGGAGTTTGTCCCTAATCTGCATCCCTAAGTACGTCTAGGCCTGACCTTCCACAAGATGGTCTATAAGTCTTCCCCCAAGTAAACTGACTGATCCTCCCTCTTCAACCTTGCTACGTTTCAAATGAAGAATGTTGCATTTGTCGAGTCCAAAGAACATGCCGATATCATTAGAAAAGGACTCGACAAGGAGAATCTGTTTTTTGTGTGTAGATCCTCCATTGGCAATAAGTTCAAGGTCATCCATGTAAATAATAATAATAATAATAATGATAATAATGATAATTATTATTGTTATTATTATTAGTAGTAGTAGTAGTAGTATTATTATTATTAGTAGTAGTAGTAGAAGTAGTAGTAGTAGTAGTAGTAGTAGTAGTAGTAGTAGTAGTAGTAGTAGTAGTTACACGCCGGTTAGCCCTGCATCTGGTATGTATGAGGGGCAAAAGAATATAAACCGAGTTAGTTTCTTCTGCAATTGAAAAATGAAAAAAACTGTTGCTAAATTTGATTATGTCTATATAACCATCACTCATTCCTGCACCAGTGTTATTATTTATAGTAGTCTGTGGCGGGGTAATTTTGTTCAATGAAGACTTGGGTAAGAAATGAATCTGCAACCACGGGACACCTACCATGTTGCTAATTTGTGTCGAGAAAAGTAAATATAATGATTTTCTAAGATTAGATGTCGAAGACACCCATCAGCACTTGTGTATTATGCGGAATTTTCTTACTTTTTTGAAAGTGTCACATAAAACAATTATAGAAAATTTAACCAAGTAGAAGTATTCTTTGGGTGCTGACAAAGCGCTAGTACAGTTAATTTCTTTTATGTTATATCGTTAAATTAAGATATTTTCAATTAAAAAACAAATATATGATAAAATCACCCGAGAGGTATAGTTTCTTTTTATTCACAGTATATGTTTCATGACAACAGACGTGCACCATTTCAGCGGGCTGTTACTGTTTTGACGATTCTTAGATACTGTCACTTGTCTGGCACCTGTAACATCTCAACTCCCACCCACAACCCCTCATCCACTCAACTACCACCCACAACCCCTTATCCACTCAACTACCACCCACAACCCCTCATCCACTCAACTACCACCCACAACCCCTCATCCACTCAACTACCACCCACAACCCCTCATCCACTCAACTACCACCCACAACCCCTCATCCACTCAACTACCACCCACAACCCCTTATCCACTCAACTACCACCCACAACCCCTCATCCACTCAACTACAACCCACAACCCCTCATCCACTCAACTACCACCCACAACCCCTCATCCACTCAACTACCACCCACAACCCCTCATCCACTCAACTACCACCAACAACCCCTCATCTACTCAACTACCACCAACAACCCCTCATCTACCACCCACAACCCCTCATCCACTCAACTACCACCCACAACCCCTCATCCACTCAACTACCACCCACAACCCCTCATCTACCACCCACAACCCCTCATCCACTCAACTACCACCCACAACCCCTCAACTACCACCTATACCCCTCATCCATTCAACTACCACCCACAACCCCTAATCCACTCAACTACCACCCACAGCCCCTCAACTACCACCAAAAACCCCTCATCCACTCAACTGCCACCCACAACCCCTCATCCACTCAACTACCACCCACAACCCCTCAACTACCACCCACAACCCCTCATCCACTCAACTGCCACCCACAACCCGTCATCCACTCAACAACCACCCAATACCCCTCAACTACCACCCACAACCCCTCATCCACTCAACTGCAACCCACAACCCCTCAACTACCACCCACAACCCCTCATCCACTCAACTGCCACCCACAACCCCTCATCCACTCAACAACCACCCAGAACCCCTCAACTACCACCCACAACCCCTCATCCACTCAACTACCACCCACAACCCCTCAACTACCACCCACAACCCCTCATCCACTCAACTGCCACCCACAACCCCTCATCCACTCAACAACCACCCAGAACCCCTCATCCACTTAACTACCACCCACAACCCCTCAACTACCACCCACAACCCCTCATTCACTCAACTACCACCCACAACTCCTCATACACTCAACTACTACCCTCAAGCCCTCAACTACCACACACAACCCCTCATCCACTCAACTACCACAAACAACCCCTCATCCTCTCAACTAGCACCCACAACTCCTCATCTACCACCCACAAACCCCTCATCCACTCAACTACCTCCCACAGCCCCTCAACTACCACCCACAACTATTCAACTACCACCCACAACTCCTCATCTACCACCCACAAACCCCTCATCTACTCAACTACCACCCACAACCCCTCATCCACACAACTACCACCCACAACCCCTCATCCACTCAACTACCACTCACAACCATTCAACTACCACCCACAACCCCTCATCCACTCAACTACCACCCATAACCATTCAACTACCACCCACAATCCCTAATCCACTCAACTACCACCCACAACCCCTCAACTACCACCCACAACCCCTCATCCACTCAACTACCACCCACAACCCCTCATCCACACAACTACCACCCACAATCCCTCAACTACCACCCACAACCCCTCATCCACTCAACTACCACCCACAACCCCTCATCCACACAACTACCACCCACAATCCCTCAACTACCACCCACAACCCCTCATCCACTCAACTACCACCCACAACCCCTCAACTACCACCCACAACCCCTCATCCACACAACTACCACCCACAATCCCTAATCCACTCAACTACCACCCACAACCCCTAAACTACCACCCACAACCCCTCATCTACAACCCACAACCCCTCATCCACACAACTACAACCCACAACCCCTCATCCACTCAACTACCACCCACAACCACTCAACTACCACCCACAACCCCTCAACTACTACCCACAACCCCTCAACTACCACCGACAACCCCTCAACTACCACCAACAACCCCTAATCCACTCAACTACCACCAACAACCACTCAACTACCACTCACAACCCCTCATCCACTCAACTACTACCCACAACCCCTCAACTACTACCCATAACCCCTCAACTACCACTCACAACCATTCAACTACTACCCACAACTCCTCATCTACTCATCTACCACCCACAACCCCTCATCCACACAACTACCACCTACAACCCCTAATCCACTCAACTACCACCCACAACCCCTCATCCACCAACTACCACCCACAACCCCTAATCCACTCAACTACCACCCACAACCACTCAACTACCACCCACAACCCCTCATCCACTCAACTACTACCCACAACCCCTCAACTACTACCCACAACCCCTCAACTACCACCCACAACCCCTCATCCACTCAACTACCACTCACAACCCCTCAACTACCACCCACAACCCCTCATCCACTCAACTACCACCCACAACCCCTCAACTACCACCCACAACCCCTCACCCACTCAACTACCACCCACAACCCCTCATCCACTAAACTACCACCCACAACCCCTCATCAAATCTACTACCACCCACAACCCCTCAACTACTACCCAAAACCCCTCAACTGACACCCACAACCACTCAACTACCACCAAAAACCCCTCATCCACTCAACTACTACCCACAACCCATCAACTACCACCCACAACCCCTCATCCACTCAACTGCCACAACCCCTCATCCACTCAACTACCACCCACAACCCCTCATCCACTCAACTACCTTTCTCAACCCCTCATCTACCAACCACAACCTCTCATCCACTGATCGATATGAACAGTGAGATATCCTCGGCTGTAAACTTCTAAAATTTCGTATCTTTTAACGGCATGCGTCTGAGCTACCCTGATCATCCGGTAAAACGTCTCTATATTTTGGTTCATGTACTTTTGTCCCAAAGGAATCAGGTCAAATATATATAAATAGAAAATTCCGATTTCAATTATGTATTTCTTCTCGCCCTTCGTCATAATTCGTTTTCTGTTGTGTGTGATACATTTTCTACAGATTTTAATCATATTATTTAAACTATTTTATTTGTGTCGATAGCGACTGTAAATGAGTAATGTTTAAACATTTGAATTATTTCTGGTCGGCGGAATAAAACCCCCATTGCTTTTCATGTTTTTCCATATTTAATATATGGCGAGTCGGATAATTCGTAAAATGCAGTAAACTACGGTTATAGCGAACTGAAAGGGACCAAAATATTTAGTTCGTAATAACCGTAGTTCGATATAAGCACATATACAGCATATATACAGCAAATGGACGGGGCCAAAAAACTGTTCGTTATATCCGTCAGTTCGTTATAAGCGTGTTCGTTATAAGCGTAGTTTACTTTATGTTATGAAAAGGTCCGACCTCAGGACAGCACGTGAAAGCCTCACCGCCGTATAACCAAACGATCAGATACCAACGTTATCAGTGGTCAGTGTTATTGAAATCATTAAGTGAAAACAGATGTGCGCAATATTTTTATCACGTAAATATACGTCCGTGATCATACTTCCTGGTCGGTAAAAAATTGGGACCACGTGACGTGCATTCGAGCGAATGGCTCGTCAGAAGCCTGTTGATTATTGTAGATTCTGATGTCAGTTACATTTATGTACCACGCCATCTGCAGGGGCCAGAAGTTAGCAGCGGGTTCGTGATTTATATTAAACAACTACAGTAATGTGGTCGAAGGACGAACCCGGTGATAGCTTGTTTTTCGTTGTTCTAAAAACGAATGACGAATAACGAACCCGCTGGAAATACGGTATCTTATATTTGTTATACCAAGTCTTAATAACGAACCCAGGACTGATTTATTTTTCGTTATTCAAAAGTACTGAATAACTAAACATCCTTTGGACGATGTAAGACGAACCTGCTGTCAAATATTAAATGAGTTTCAGTATATTTCACCACATTACTGTAGTTGTTTAATATACAGCCTTTGAATAACGAACCCGGTGCTGGCTTGTTTTTCGTTATTCATAAGTACTGAATAACTAAACAGTTTTTGGATGATGCTGTAAGACGAACCTGCTGTCATATATTAAATGGGTTTCAATGTATTTTACCACATTACTGTCGTTGTTTAATATACAGCCTTTGAATAACGAAAACGAATAACGAACCCGCTGCTAACTTCATTTTGTTTTTTGTATAGGATAGTACAATGGTTCAGGCAGATTTTAATACCCTGTTATAATGGTTTTATTGTCACAATTCAATGGAATTAGTGTTTTACCTACTCACAAGATTTGAAAATGAAGTAAAATAACATGATTTTTACCAATCTTCCACTGAGAATTAGAATTACAGTTAAATGAAACAAAATGTTTGCCAAATTCAGATAACCGAACACAGTACCTGTAATCAAAGACATAATTTGGATAGTTTAATGACTTAATAAAAATGTTACAGCCAATTTTGTCAAATTATGCATTTTTCCTTCAATTTATGCAATTTTGACCCCCTGAAAATTCCTGCACAAACTTGCAAGCTTACTACCCAATGAAAATTGTGTACAGATACCTCCTTTATGCAATAGAAAAGGTTTAAGGTATACAGGAAAATGTGGGAACGAAAATCTTGTTTTTCACCCCTGGCCAACTGACTATAAGGCCCCTGCCATCTGCAGACAATGATGATGGAAAAGACTGCGTGTTTGTTTCCTTTTTTGTTGTTTAATAACGCCAGACTGGGTGAACTCTGAAAACATCAAAGGACGGTCTTGACGGGTGGCCCAGTCGCCTGAGGCGCCGACTTTTGCTTTGCAGAGTTGTGTCCCTTGGGCCCATAAACCTATCATTGTGGGTTCGAATCCCAATTTGTACCGATTATGTTTCCAGGTTTGTCAGCACCATACCCGTGCTCGTGGGTTTCAACAAAGCGATAAACGTCGAAGACATGCATCAATCAAGCGGACACGCCGTGATATAACTGGAAAACTGTCCGGCGTCGTTAGACCCAACTCACTCACTCCGGATTAGTGCAGGCAGCCACGAACAAACACGCATACAAGAATTTGGCTATATGGTGCAATAATCTTGAACGGTGACGTTAAACCCCATATACGCGCGTATACAACGCCGGGAGTTTGCTGGAACATTGCTAAATGCGGCGTAAAACCATACTCACTCACTGACAGGCGGTGATGGAACTATACATACTGCTTGAAGAAGAGTTAACGGTGAGTGGGTGAGTAGGCGTTAACTACTCTTTCGTTTTCAATTGTTTACAAATCTAATAGTTTTACAGTACAGGCAAAATAAAATTTAAAAAATCAGAAAAAACCGTTTTTGTAAGCATTTGTAAAAGAATATTAAAATTTAAATATGGTCATCAATCATTTACAAATATATTAAATCACAGAAGAAATGCACAACAAATCAAGAGGTTTCTAAAAGTTTCACATTTGTAGGTATTAAATATGATCATTAAATGTACAAATAAATACTTTTACAAAGCGCCACGAATAAAACGGCTTGAAATGTTTTTTTTATAAATATTTGATAATTATATTAAATATGGTTATCAATCATTTACAAATCATTTACAAATATTAAACAAAATCAATTATTTGTAAATAGTTCATAAGTATTTTAAATATAATCATTACATATTTAGAAATGAAACACTTCAAAGAAAGAGCACAACCAATAAATTAGGTTTATATTAGTAAATATTTCATTAGCATATAAAATATGGTCCTGTTTATAAACAAATATCTTCAACAGGGAGAAAGGCAATAAATAAAACGTCTTTAAAAGGGTTATTATTTGTAAAAAAAATTGATAAGAATATTAAATATGGGCATTAAATATTCCGATGAAAATAAAACGTTGGCGTGGGTTCGCTCTGGGGCATCGCCGTTCGACTGCCCACCGAGAACAGCCGTTTCTTTGGACATATCCACACGGCAGTAACTGGGTCGATGGAAGCACGAGTGTTGGTGAATTAATCACAGCGATGTTGTCGGTTCCGTCAACAAGAGCTGAAATCCGTCTCTCTCAGCTGACTGTTAGGAGCTTCGTTGTTGAACCCAAAGACCAACTTACGGAAAATGATAATTTATAAGATACATAATGTGATTTGGTATAGGGCCAGCCTCCGCCTTTTGTTATCATCAGTACCTAATTCTGTCAACGACCACCCCTAAAGCCCCGTTATAACAACGCGCATTGCACTGTATTGTTCCTGGATATTTTTTTGTTTTCGCAATATTCTCGAAATCCCGTTAGAACACGCTTCCGTGCTGTACTGCAAGAAGCCCTCGCTATAGCGCGTGCTCGGGAGGATCGTTCATCTGACAGTCCCTTTACAGCTTCAGTAAGGGATCTCGAGAATTGTGCGCGTTCTGTCACCAGTCTCGACTCACATCGTGCTGCAGTTGCACGTGCAGGTCGCGAGACGTCAAATCAAAGCCGTAAACTAGAGCACATATTTGACATTTTTTTCCTTGTGGCATTTTCGCGGGAAAGAAAACTGCTAGAGATGTTGACCTCAACTAACCACTGCTCTTCCATCGAGCTGGATCCCGCCCCCGTATAGACGAATGCAAATATTGAATAAATTATCAAATGACTCTGCCAACGCATGTGAACGAAATCCTACACTCGAACAATGACAACCGATCTCAGGATCAAACAGGACCAGTGTGTACCTCTCCAAAACATCGGGCGTGTCATATACCAATTGCAGAACAGGGAGGGGCCGAGGTTGATAGAACAGCTGGCGCAAGGCTAAAAGATTAGAAGGTTGTGCTACGGTTGAATAGCCGCAAATTCATGCCCACTACGAAGAGAAGGAGGCCAAATTTGTAGTGGGATTTTGGGTGCGGAATTCCCCAATGGTTGTATGTCCATGGCGCCTTCCTCAATCCTAGGCGGGAGTCTACCCGTGGCGGTAGTCGTGCTGATCGCCGTCGTCAGAGGTAGGTCGTTGATTTTTTCCTAACATCAGCTTCACCCATGACCTCAATTGCAAAAACAACATGGCCGTGTGTATGCAGCTCACTCGGCTCAATCACCGTCGTCCCCGATACCCCCCTCACCATCCCCAGTGTTTCATGTTCTCATATCATCATATAATCATATCACAGTCTGGGGCGTTCAATTGCACGCGCGGTATCTCAGTTTAACAATGCTAGGCGAAGATGGTGCTCGCTCGCTCCCTCCCAGCCGTGCTTCTCGATCGCTGCCTGTTCTGTCCATGCCCGGGGTTACTGACCAACAATCGGGAGGATATACGACCCATTTATCACCCCACCCCGTCCAATATCATTAATATGTACCGACAAAACACACGGCGGAGTTCTCCGTGGTCTATTACAAGACGGCATGTTACTGTCAGATACGTTTGTTTTGGGTTTTTTTTCGTGCTGGTTTGACGTGGTGAGTCTTACAAGGTCACGGGCTAACTGAATGGTATCGTTGGACAGTTGGGTCAGGCAGGTTGGTGGTAAGCCTCTAGGGTGCAGCACCTAAGAAATGTCCGATCAACGGCGTTGAATACGCCTCAATAACAATATCAGCCAGCCAACATAGATTTCGTTCCTTCTCCAGCTTTGACAGGCCATAGGGCACGGAATTGATTAAAAAATAGGTCTGTGTATAACCCGTCATATAGCGGTGGGGAGGGGGAGCAAGCTATGCCCGACGTGGTGGACCTCTGTGGTGGGGAGGTGTGTGACTACTAACAAACAAATTTATGTCAGGGAGGGATGGAAGTGAATTTCACCGTTGACCTGATTTTGTGGAGGCGTGCTTTGATATTGTTGTTATCACCCCTCCACTACTGGGTGCTGATAATGGCCCTTTGTGGCGATGTTATCAACAATATCTTGCTTTCTGTCGTCATGTAATCATTACACTTTGATTAGGGGATAATTACCAGTGTTCATCAATGTGTGGCTGTAGTGTAAACAATGCATTTAAACTGCCTGCCGCTGGTATTGACATTGTATCACATAGTTGCACTCAGTGTCAACATTGTTTACAATTGCATCCATTACAATGGCTTCATTCATATGCAGTGTTGTGTAATGTGTAACAGAGTAAGCACTTGTAACCCATTGACACATGTGATAATAGTGTTTAAAGTGTGTACAGCATGGGATACCAGATATATACACCAGGAAACAGGACTGTTGTGGTTATCAATGAAACCAGGAAATACACCTCTTTGTGTACAATCAGGCCGTTGGTTCAATGTTTCATGAATGAAATCAGGACAGGAATTATCTAGGACTCTAAAGTAAGTGCCCTTGGCAGGCAAATTGGGGAAAAAGCAATGTTTTGTTCAACATTTGGATCTTTATAAAGTTATTATCTTCATAAATTCTGAGTTATTTTAACATTGCATTCAGCATGTTCAGCATAGTAATGTAAACATAAGCATTAAAATTAAAGCCTATCCCTTTTTGTTGGTTCTGTTGTCAGTGATTAAAAAATGACCTCTACAAAGCCATAACATTAGATATGATCAGATTAACATGAACTGGGAGTACCTTCAGCTTGACCCAGTCCAGATAAAACCATTCAGTGGTAGCAGTTGCAATAATATACGACAATCTTCTCTTTTTTCATTTTAGAAGTTTTATTGTTTTCTTATTTTTGTGTGTGTATTGAAGTTGTGTGTTACTTAATTTTTCCTTAAGTAAATTATTGTTGACATTAGGAAATGAAAGGATATTTTACGATGTAGACCACTACATCTGCAACATTAACATGAGGATTTTTTAAAACTATACTCCTTAACTTTCAGTAGGGGAAATCAGATATGTCATGCTCATGTCAACATGGTCAATCACTGGATTGTCTGGTCCAGACTCGATTATTTACAGACCGCCGTCATATAGCTGGAATATTGCAGTTTTGTGTATCATGGAATTATAAAGGTATCTCCATCAGAAGTGGAATAGTATATATAGTGTGAGAGACTTTCTTGTGTTCAACTCTTGCGTGTTTGGATTTATACCAATACCAAAGGTGTATCCCACGGCTCAAGTTTGAAGTGTTTGGTAACAACATGTTTCTCACGATTGAAGGGGGGCACTGGTGGCCCAGTCGTCTAAGGTGGTGCAATTCGCTGTGCAGAGTTGCGTCCCTTGGACACGCCAGAAACCTATGATTGTAGGTTCGAATCCCGGTTCGCCCTGATTATGTTTCTACGTTTATCAGCACCATACCCGTGTTCGTGGGTTTGACCAAAGTGGTAAACGTCTGAGACCTGCATCACTTTGGGCTTTCCTCCCACATTAAGCTGACACGCCGTGGTGTAACTTGAATACTGTTAAAAGCGGCGTTAAAACCCAACCAACTCACTCACTCACTCACTAATGATTGAACAATCGTTCACTCAAATTGTATTGTGTGGAAGATTAGTGTATCTACAAAGCTGTGATGTAATATTCATCTTGGCCACAGATTTTACCATTGTTCTATATTCTCCAGAATTTTGAAAAAGTAAGTCTCTTCCCCTCTCTGCCATTCCTGCATGTGTGGAGAGTAAGATGCCATTGTCATGGTCACTGCCTTTTGTAACCAAATTACCATTATCCGCAGATCTTAGAGTCCCAGATCTATATAGACTGTGAAGATAAGAGAGGTGGGGCAGCCTAGTGCTTAAAGCATTTGCTCATCTCATCGAAGGCTCGGGTTTGATTCCCCACATGGGTACAATGAGTGAAGTCCGTTTCTGGTGTCTCCCTTGTGATACTGCAGGTGCAAAAACAATCTCCCTCATGCATGGTGACAAAGCATCTGCACGCTGACACTTTCAGTAACTTAGCATTCTAAAAGCCCGTGAAAACGCCGGGGTAGAATAGGTCAAATCCAAATATCCAATAATCCTAGTAGATGTGATTAGTAGGTGTTGATTGCTGTAATATTGAACCAGTTTCCAATGCTTTAATTTTGATACGAATTGGAACTGAATATAACGGACAGAAAAAGTAAACATGTTGTTGTTATTATTATTATTATTATTATTATTATTTATCACATGTTTATATTATTATTTACAGATTAATATGAAAAATGCAGCAAAGAGGGTTTGGGTGAATTGGATTATTATTATTATTATTATTAAAGCGATTTTATTCATCGATAATCTTGGGATGGAGAAGCACAGTCATAAGTTGTAATGATGTAAGGGGACAGATTGCTCTGAAAGAATCCAGCTTATTTCATGATCTCATAACACAGAAAAAACTGTTAAGCTTAGAAATAAATATTCATGGTATGCAGGCTCGGCTCGAATCAGTAAATGTTTTATTTGACGATAATGATGACATTTATTTCCCTTTTGAGGCAATGAATGGAACTCCTGATAGCGTGAAGCACTCTGTTTAGTGTTTGTTCAAAGGTTGTAACCAGTCTCTTGTAATGGTGAATTAACTACTGAATAAATAAACATATGCTAGACACCCTGCTCTCATGTACATTTAAGTAAAAAAATTAAACACTTTAAACAAACCCGCTCTTAACTTTAGACTGCTTCTCCAGTGCCACTGTTTTACTGTGCAGAGTTGTGTCCCTTAGGTGACCCAGGAAACTAGGACCATGGGTTCGAATCCCAATTAGTTCTGATTATGTTTCTAGGTTTGTCAGCACCTGATATCACTGCATGTCCATTTCATGTTTACTGTGCAGAGTTGTGTCCCTTAGGTGTCCCAGGAAACTAGGACCATGGGTTCGAATCCCAATTAGTTCTGATTATGTTTCTAGGTTTGTCAGCACCTTATCTAAGCTTGTGGGTTTCACCAAAGTGGTAAGAGTATATGACATGCATTTCTTTGGGGTTAACTTGTGCATCAAGTGGACATGGCATGATATAACTGAAATACACGCACATCAAGTGGACATGCCATTATATAACTGAAATACTCCCACATCAAGTGGACACACCATGATATAACTGAAATACTCCCATATCAAGTGGACACGCCGTGATATAACTGAAATACTCCCACATGAAGTGGACATGCAGTGATATAAGTGAAATACTCCCACATCGAGTGGACACGCGGTGATATAACTGAAATACTCCCACATGAAGTAGACATGCAGTGATATAACTGAAATACTCCCACATCAAGTGGACATGCCATAATATAAAAGAAATACTCCCACATCAAGTGGACATGCCATGATATAAATGAAATACTCCCACATCAAGTGGACATGCCATAATATAAAAGAAAGACTCCCACATCAAGTGGACAAGCCGTGATATAACTGAAATACTCCCACATCAAGTGGACATGCCATAATATAAATGAAATACAGTGATCCCTCGCTACAACGCTACCTTCAGGGTCCAAATAATTGGTGAGCATTATAGATGATCAGCGGTTTAACGAAGGTCGAGTCGTAGGTGGTAGATGACCAACAAAACAGTATACATGCTCTGCCTACCTAACACAATCTACCTTGCACGTTTCAGGATTTCAAAAAAGATTAGAATAGAAGTTATTTATGATTCATTCATAATGTAGAAAAAGATTTATCGAGTATTAATATGCGCTTTAAAAAAAACAATACATCGTATCCCTTCAGGTGAATAAACAGGTAGATCTATAACAAACTTTGTCTATATAAGAATGAAATTTGATATAAAACATCACTAGACATGATGATTTACCATTTAAAATGTATTTCCTGCTCTCTAAGGTATTCTTTTATATGCTGAGATTAAGATTACCGTGTGTATTTTCTCGTAAACTAAGCTGGAAATAGCAATCAGCTGTGCACGCGTCTCCTCCCAATATACTGGTGATTCAGTTAAAACGTACCCAGTGATACCACTTTAAAGAAATTTGATGCAATGGTCGGAAGAAATTGTATCTGATATTATTATTTTATCAGGAATAATATATTCCAATATCGTGTTATTTTAGTTGCAGCTTCCACCATATATACTTAAAATTAT